GTGCATCTAATTGGGTGGTTAGGTCAATTGTGATGTCGCCATTATATTACAATTATGGCGCGTAAGTCTGGATGTTGCCCAATGGTAAAGTTTATAAATTGTGAGCCATAAGAAAATAAGCTCTGTGTTAATTAGCTTGGCTTAAAATTGAACTTTTCAACAAGTTTTCATCCAGGCCTACAAGATGCCCTTGGTAAATGCAACCCATTGATAGGGATATTTATGTTTAATCGAGTAGATTATCTCTACTAACTAACTAGATCATGATACTTAACAATTCGAGATGATGAAATCATATGATATTGATCAAGTTGTCCCCAACTCCCCCAACTATTTACTTTTGAGTTAATAGTAGTATGTTCTCTTGCCTTGTTCAAATAAAGCAAAATATTGTAGTGCATATAAACTAGCCTTGATAAAAAATTCACTGTTGCAATCAAGCATAGTAAATAGTTATAGGGGCTTATGCCTATGAGAACATCAAATCAAATCATAATGTCCTTGTTAGAGGGAGAAATATTTGAGTAGTTCTTATCTAAAATTCAATCTAGTTATTTGATAGAGTTGGATTGGGTTTTCTTAGAGCTCATATAGCTTGGCACATTCTCAATGAGGAACTCAAATGATGAAAGATTTAGTTAACTTTATTCTCCCTCCCTCTCTGTATATATATATATATATATATATGTGTGTGTGTGTATATATATATTGGATAAATGTAATTAGTTTGCACTTCTTTGAAAATTTAGGCACCTTTTCTGTTGGCAACTCAAGTCTGTGCACGGTGTGTACAAATTCTGATACACCATTTTGATTTTCCATGAAGAATATGTGCCAATTTTTCATTGCTTGTTACAAGAAAATCAATGCTGAAATCTTTTGCTTATCAAGATTATTGGTAGTGAATAATCAGTTAAGGGAAAGAGTTTGCATGTTAAATCCGTTATGTTAATAATGACTCCAGTTCATTTTAATTGATATCAAATGTCTCCCCCTGTATATTTGATGGTATTTAGTCTAGGTTGAATAGCATTGTTGGTTCATTTGATGGCACCATTTTCTCAAGTAATAGTTCTATTTCTTGATTGAACTGTTTTAACATTTCCCCAAAATTTTCACATCGATATTATTATAGTCCTTTGCCTGTGTAATGGTTTTCATGATTAGTGCACAATTTGTCACTTTGTCAGTTAAAATCCCTCCAATAAATTTTTTTTAAATATCCGCTAAGTAAATCTGAATACCAAGTTCTTACACGTATTCTTGTTAAAAATTATGCAGATGTGTCTTCAGTGCTCTGACAAAGCTTCTTCAAGTTCCACGTCTAGGCTGTTATTTCCTCGTAATACTGTTTTCTGATGTGATGACGATACATTTCTTTTTCCTGGTAAAGTTTGATATTGCTAATTTCATATTTTGGTAATTAACCATTGCCTTTCTCAATTAAATGCGTTATTTTCTTCTAAAATCTAAAAATGAGAAGAATTTAGTAGTAAATTGCTAATTTTCGTGCTTAAACGTTCTACCATGATGCTTCTATAGTGATCTTGTCCATTGAGATTCAGAAAGCACTTCTCTATCTTGCTTTATCATCTCCTAGTGCAAATGTCTTTTCGTCCGTGTGCAGTTAGCACTGCCATTGCATCGAACAAATTGGAGAATTGTTGTTTGTGAAAATGCCAGACTAATTTCTTCCATTTCAAGGTCATTTAGTATTGGGAAAGTAATGGGCTTGGATAATTTGGCTAGTCCACCGAACTACGAACCCGTTGCGTATGCTTTTTGGAAACTACTAGGAAGCAGTAGCCAAATTGGATCTGTGATAGCAGTTTGAAAGCAAAATTATGAGAAAGCTATCTCAAATAGACCCTAAGTTTTAATATGCCAAAGATTTGATTGTGAAACCGACTAAAAGCACTACAAGGAGATCCATCTATAGGGTTTATTTGGGGCACTTGCAATTGTTTTTAAGGCATAGAATTATTGTGAAAAAAAAAGCTATTGTGAGTATTATAAGTTTTCACTTTTGAAAAAATTAATGAATTTCTTATAGCTATCACACTAATATATTTAGTTATAAAAACTTGTTTTTCACTATTTTTTTTTTTTAAATAGCAATAGTTGTAGCAAAATAAAATCAGTGAAAACATTGCCACAAATGGGAACAATTATTACGTCCTCCGACCGGACATAGAGGAACGTTCGGTCGGAGGCAAATTCCCGCCCAAAAACGAATTGTACCGAGCAAATACTGAGCAATACCAAACAATAACGAAGAATACCATCATTTGAAGATCCAATACCGAGTTATACCGGGCTTTACCGAGCAAATACCGAGTTATACCAAAGTTGTACCGAGATTTTCCCAGAAAAAATCGGTACAACTCGGTATTTCTCGGTACAGCTCGGTATAACTCGGTATTGGTCTTCAGAGAACGGTATTCCTCATTATTATCAAATAATACCTAGTTGTACCGAGCAAATACTTAGTTTTTTGACGGGAAATTGACTCCGACCGGACGTTCCTCTACGTCCTTGCACCGGACGAAATAAAAGTTCCACAAATGGACCCATAGTTTCTTTCTTGAGTTTAAGATGGTTTTATGGTGACTCTTTTTAACTAAATGTCAGTTTATGATGTTTATATTTTATTTCATTGATTTTCTTATGTCAATATTATAATCTACAATATGAACTGATGATATCAAGATCTAGATTTTTCTCACCATGAAATAACATTCGACTGTAGGTTCGAAATACAGGAAGTTGGATGGAAATCGGTAACAGCATCAGCCATTTTGGAATCATGAGCGCGCAGGTTGTTTTCATATTACTTCTTTTTGCTCTTACAAATATCTATACAAAGGATATTGAGGTTAGGTCTTTCTCATCTTTATCAAGGAAGAAAATGTAGCATGGATGATGTTTTGTTGATATCTATTATTTAATTTCCTTACATTGATTGAGCTGTTGTGACAGCAAAGCAGTTTAGATGTTGGCTTCGTTTGGGATAGCTTTCTAGTAGATTTTTAGTACAACTATTTTTAGTTTAAAAAATTTTTGCACTAAAAAATTGTTTTAAGAAACAGTAAGAAAGCCGTCCCAAAAGAAGCTCAATTTCTCTAAATTTTTTGTTTGTTGTAGAAAAGTTGATATTTGCATTCAATTCATTGTTGCTTTTTTTTTTCCTTTTGGTAGGAAATAGTTAGATCCCTTATTTCCTATTTAAGTTCTCATTTGAAAGATTTCTGCTATTTTCAGTTTTATATAGTGGTGGCTAAAACATTCAATCTGTTGTACAATGCACTGAAACTTCATAGATATTTAACAAAATGTAATCTTTAATATCTCTAAAAGCAGCATACAGACTTAGCAATTTTCAAAATATTCTAAAACCTTAATATAAGGAGGATATAGATACAAACCAACAATATAGATTTACATATTTAATAGTGTTAAATTTGATATTATTTATGTAATACTTAAATTAAGACTATTATTTAAAATATAATTAAGCGTTAATTTTGTGCTATAACTGATACGATGTTTACAAATGATTAGCAGATGATAAATTAACTTTGATCCTCAGTATGGTTGCTGAAACGAGTGATCATCGAGGCAACAAAATCAAGTTATTAAGTAAATACTTTCAGAAATAAGTGTTTAATAACCTGGATAACTAAAGCTCACAAAATTCTGTAAACGTCGTCTTTAGTATTAATATATTCATCTATATTATGGTCTTACAGCAAAACTTATATATCTATATTTATTGAATACGATCCATGACTGACATTCCATAATTCAACCACCGAGCCAAATGGGGTCCTTATATTATATATATATCTATCTCGTAAGCTATCTTGTTGAAGTTCAAATGCTATTTGAGTTACAAGACTGGAGTTTAATTCATCCGATTTAACGAGCTATTTAAAATAAAGCTCTAGAATAAATCTAACGCTCGACTGAAACTTTAAGGGATAGTCCAACGAGCAAGATACAATCCATACACTTACCAATGCCATACGAACGGCTAGAAAGGTACGAGTAACATAAAATCATTCCGGCCGTTTACCAACAAAAACTCTGCAGATTGCGCTACAACAATAAAAGCAAATTGATATCCAAGCAATGAATGGGTTGTTTTGAATTAATAACCGTTGATCTAGGTTTTATATACAGTTTTTTAACCGCTTTATGGAATGATTATTTAATATAAATTTTTTAATTAATTTTTTTTTTTAAAAATTATTTCATAAAATAATAAGAAAATGATCTCAAATTAAAATTTAACTTGTTTTTAAAACTTCCTTCAGTCAATACTAACAACATAGTGAAATAAACAAGGCATTTAAATTAAATTAAGTTGGGCCCCAACACAACTACTTAATATTAAATGTTACATTCACTTACTTTTTGAAACAAGCACAAATAATATATCTGAAAAACGAGGTACTGCTCAATCACTACTAAATACATTATATCCTATAAATTAAAACTTGGTGAAGCAAAGGGAGTTACTTTTTCACATTATTGTAGGAAAATAATTTCCTCATAAAAATTATTTTTGAAATTAATAAAAAAAATAATTACAATATAAAAAAATTAAGCAGTAAGACCGTAGTTCAAACAAAGCCTAAATTAGATATTAATCCAATTAGACATAAGTATTACTCAATTTGTATCTCAACAATAAATTACCAATGAAAAATCAGACCTCAAAAATATATTTATGGAGCTCTTCTTAATCTATTGGTTGAAAGATTTGACTATCAATCAATAGAGAAATTATTACATCCGGTCAAAAACCGAACGGTCCGAATGTATACCGAGCAATACCGAGTTTTAGGTGACGTGGCACGTTGTTATTGGTCTCTGAACGCATTCAGACACCAGATGTAATAATTGCTCCAATCAATAAAAGCATTATAAAATTAGCCAAATAAATAAGAACTGATGGTAAATTAATAACTTAAGGCTTACTGAGCACATCATCTGGGTCAGAAAATTTGGCAGAAAAAGCATTTATACCAATTATAAGAGTTGCTTTAAGAAAAAAAATATATGTATGCACCTCTGGAAATTAGATGGGAAGCATAAAAAATATAAAATGGAAAACCTATTGAGCTGCTTCAGGTTTATTGTACAGATGAACTCCATTACTTGTCAAGAAATTCTGGAGATTGAATGATCCTCATTAGTTCCTTTAGATTGGCTAATATATTACGTGGTCCCAGACTTTCAGCACCAAAGAAATTCAATAATTGCTCCAAATCCTTCACAAGGGGATAAATAAAATCTGTTAGCAAAGGTAGATTAATAATTTTTTTTTCTGTAATAAAAGAGGTAGTTTTAATGCTTTGATGTCTCTTTCAAGATATTATATTTGAGTAAACATTGGAAAGGACGATAGAGAAAGATGCATTCATTAAGCCTATGTGAGTACATATTTGGTAAGGTTTGTGTATGACAATTAACAACAACAACAAAAATCTATCTTTTTATTCAATGAGTAACATTTTTCATTCAATTAGGCATCATAAAGTATATTCAACTGTGATTATCGACTAATGCAGGCTTCATTTGGGACAATTTTATTGCTGCTTTCTAAAGTAATTTTTTTGTACAAAATTTTTTTTATAGTAGTAAACAAGTTGTGTTTAAAAGTTGTCCCAAACAAATCTTTAGCTTGCACAAATTTTAGAATTTGCATCTTCTCAATAACCATTTCCCAAAAACAATAAGAAATGATTGTCCATGATTCTTTTGTTCTAAAAAGATAATATAATTATGTTTAATAACTTACATTAATATAGTTATTGAAAGAATGATCAGTGGTTTTGTGCAAGTCGTACATAATTCAAATGTTCTGTAAACTTCTTCCAAATAAAACAAAGATGGGGAGCTGTATATGTTTTGGTAGTGACTTTGATATTTCGAATATCCTAAAAACTTTTTTCAAATAAAACATGGATGGGGAGTTCTATATGTTCTGGCACTGACTTTGATAACTTATGTTTGATCTGAATTGCGAGTTATTGTTCTACTATAATCCAATTCAATGTGATTAGCCACGTGTCAAGATCTCATTGGGACAAGTACTGATGGTATGAACGAATTTTAAGAACTTAATTCTAGCTTGATGGAAAATAAATAGAAGGACATTTGTAAGAAAGGAAAACCAATTTTTGACATATAATGAGAGATGTGCAGTAAATTGAAACCAAACCTTATTTAGTAAGAATATTGCATATGCGGCTCTTGTAGAATCTTGGCCTTCTAAGAAAAGGGGAAACTCTGCTGGCTTCGCATTTGCACCAACAACTGGATTAACAATCAAATCAGATGTTGCAGTCTCTGTTGATGGTGCATAGTCACAAATGTGTGAACGAGAACCCCCTAAGCGCAGGGGGTATCGCAGAGGAACATCAAGATAAGATGCAACGAGCAAGACTACCTATAAAACATGAGTGATATTCATAAATCTACAGACTGCGACAAGGGAACCTAACAAGAAAGATTTTGTCAGGATCTCTACCCTCAGTACCATTACACTACCAAAAAAAGTATATCATATCATCAAAATGGAAAAAAAAGAAGGGAAAATATTACTAAAGTTTCGTTTGTGATGGTGATGACTTTCTCACTGTTTATTAAAGCAACTTTTTAGTACAAAAATTAAAAATTTTACACAAAAAAGCTGCTTTAAGAAGCAGTAAACAAGCTATCCCAAACGAGATGTAAATTGAACTTACATGTGCAACATAACCAAGAACAATTGAAGACTTCTGAATCTCCTTTTTGTCGCTGAAGAAACTCGTCTTCTTCAGAGGGAAGGCAGTAAGTTGCTGACCCAAAATAGTCAAAGATGACAATGTTGGTGACCTTGTCATATCTGGTAAAGATGATTGTACTTCATCTCCTAAAAATGTAATTATACTAGGATCTAAGCGCATTCAAGGGAATACACTGATGAAAAAATTGTAAATAACTAATAACAATACAGTCAAGCGAGCAGAAAACATATATTACGTATGAAAATAACCAAATCTCAGCTAATAAAAAGCATCGTATTCTTAGAAAAAGATGCCAGGAATCAAACGTGGTAAAAATTGACCAGTATGAAAATGATGACCAAAAGTAGAATGTAAACAGCATCAATTTGTTACAAGTTGCCAACTAAATTTTGAAAAAAAAAATGATCATTGTATTGATGCATAATGCGCAAGAAAAAGCCCAACATAATCCCCCAATTACTGTATATGGATAATTTAATCACATTTCTTCAATTTAATCTCTAGACAATAAAATATTATCTCAAATGGCCTCTCAAATAGAAACAGACATAAATGAGCATACAAAACTGATCTTAATTTGGTCCCTTGGCTACACAAAATTGTTCTCGTTTAGTCCGTAAGAGACCATTTCAGATCAATTTTGCAAAGTTGAGAGACAAAGGATCGGTTTGGAACGATTATAACTTTTTTAAAAGGTGGTTGTAAAGCTGGAGTAGAAAGTAATTTCCTAGCACAAAATTCCTTGCAAACAGGCCAAACAAAAATTGTGGTTGGGGTCTAAAAATCAAAACTGTAAAAAAGCTATCACAAACAAAGCCTAAATTGAAGAATTGTGATACTTTGAAACTAAATTGGCCACATACAAATAGTTCGAGAATTATTTTGGCCTTTTCCCCTATAATGTGATTTTTATAATAGACAAACTTAAAAGTGGTTAAGACTGATATTGAACAGCATAATACACTATGGCTAAGGCAAATCTAGTATGCAAGTTATACATGAGGGCATGCCAAAGCACATTCTGTTGAGCATATACTTCAGGCACAAAAGTGGAGGCATGGAAAAGCAATAAAAAGTTATACCAATGAGTGAACAAAGGTATCAGAATTATTTTCTTAAGCCATGAGCAAAATCTGATCTAGTGATTATTATTTCACAAGTATTTTGCAGTCTACAGGTTCCTATACCATGGTAGCATGTGCAATGTGTCATCTATCTAATTTCCACCATCCAAAAAGAATGAGTATCACAAAAGATTAAAAAAAGTGTGGGCATGAATAAAAGCTGTTACAATGTTACCAAATCCATGCAAAGTGCTAAGCACAGTCAACACTTATCAATAACTAAAAATTTAAAGCACCGCAAATTAAGCACATTAATACCATCTTTCCAAATGCTTCTAGCTTTATTGATGTACACGAATTGTAAAGCCATAATTAAACTTAGGAATGCGAGTTGTCAACACAAGTCCTCCTGGCCATAATTTTAATGAACCATAGTCACAACAACAAAAATGACATAGCAATAAAGCTTGACATTTTACCAGCACAAGGTTTATCAAACTTCTCCTTGGATGCATCTTCATTCGATGATTTTACTGGATACAATGAATTAACTTGAGTAATCATATGTTGTTGTCTCATCCGTAGCATCGTTTGCAAGCTTTTGGCATTCCCGTGTCCCATTTTTCCAATTACCAACTTATTAGCCTCCTATCAAAAAGGGAATGCTTATTAAAATGAGAGAGAGAGAGAGAGAGAGCAATTCATACCATTAGTTTTAACTCAACTAACGCTAATTTCACGCTAAATGACATACCGATAGATTGACCAACATAAATAGAAGATGCTGGTGCACTTATACAACAAAGTGTTAACAATATAAAATTGATTATACTGTAATCATACTAGACAAAAAAACTTCAATTTATTTGAATTCTTTTATTTCAGAGGGCAAATCTCACAGAGATCAGTGAGCATATGCAGGTGGGGTAATCATGAATAGAGGCATGATGGGGCCCCACCATCTGACTGGTTGAATTTTGAAGGCACATCTAGCCAGCCCAAACAAAAATAAAAATAAACAGCTCCATTATCTAAGCCGGCTTCTCTAACGCTACATAAACAAGACAATAGCCATGTGTCAAGCGCACAACCTAGTAGGAGGGTCTGGTAGCCACCAGCTAAAGCATTTGTATATAAAGCTGCCATCACTATCAGTTATGGAAATAATCTTCTAAAGGTACCTCCAAAGACTACCTTTATCTCTCTATTCCTTTGCCCATCACCACCAGTTTGTCCATCTAGTTAGCTTTCAATAAAAATATATTCATCATTTTCACATTCCTTTCATGCCAGTACCCGACATGAAAATGATAATTGAAATAAAAGTAACTGAACATGATCCAGAAAAGAAATAAGAACTAGGAGCTGAAACCCCTAGAGAAATATTTATTAATGCCAAAAGAGAGACCAATTAGAAGGAAAAGTTACATTTAATTCCAAGAGATTTGCTCATAAATTGCCGGCATGTTTGTGCGTGCTAAATGCTAATATAACATAATTAGTACAAATGCCAATCAATATGACCATGGAAAATGACATTCGTCGTTCTACATCTAATGGCCAGAACACAATGGAGTGAGCTACAATATGAAGAAATGAATCTCCCATTTCTGAAGGCTATATATTATTCAACCATATGTAGACCTTTGGCTTGTATTTGGTTTGTATTTTTTGCTTGGCACAAAAACTTAGATGTACTAGCAAATCATTATAATATTAAAAAATATTATACTGATATACATTCTCAAAATAGGTATGACAGAACACGCAGTCAAAGGGTTTTCACATTATACAAGTTAGTGGATCTATGTGGGAATAGAGGTAAAGTGCATGTTCTTGCAAGCCCAGTGCACCAATGCATGTGCATGTCCATGAAGTCTAGGCTGTTAACCAAGATTAACCTTTCCAATGGTATTCAAATGAGGATGCCAAAAGGTTTGAAGAGGAAATCAAAAAAATAATTCATAGCATTATTTGATGAATATTTTCGCCATTTTTGAAGCTTACGTGAAAGTGCTTTGGCTTTCTCTTTAACCAGAGGGTTGACATTCATGTGAATTAGTTTCCTAATACTCCTCCTAGACATCTATACACTATAAAATCACTCTCACAATGTATTCACAACATTGTACCATATCATACAAAAAGTTTTAAGATTAGACTAAATCCAACAATATTTTTTTAAGCTGCCAGTTATATCTTTTTTTTTTTTTTGTTATTCTTGATTGAGCCATTCCGTAGAATATTTTATTTTTTAGGTTACAGTTGTTTTGAATGCAGCCACTATTAAATGCCATTTTTTAAGCTCATCATCCTTTCATGCTTTCCTACAGTCAAATGGAAAGGTTTCTTGAAGTAGATCAAGTTGGGATCATTCTTAGTAATTGTTCTTCTTGAGTGACCGAGTTCCTAATCACAATAAGCTCCACATAGAACAAAGAGACAACAGGAAGCTTTCTTTCCATTTTGCAAGCCAATTCACAGTAGATAAATAACAAAGGCAAGGAAAAACAAATGGTTACCCTGCATTTAAATGTGGAAGAAATTTTGCAATATAGATTAGGTTAATACAATTATAGTAATTATCGAACCATGCACAATCCTGAGAAAGATAGGATGACATGAGAGGTCTACTATTTATGAGGAAATGTTTTGACATGCTCGACAACTTGTATTCCACATAGGTTAATAGATAACAGCACCTAAACAAAAGAAGAAAGAAAAAAATACGGTAAATATAGTAAACAAGAAGAAAGAATACATGGATTAGAAACAGTGCTCCATCAACAACTTTTGTGTCATAGTCTACAGTTATATGGTCATGATTGTCCGGTTAACCATCCCCAAATAATTTGGAAATGGAATTATATAATGTTCTTAATCAAGTCCCAAGAATTATATACTAGGGTAATATCATTGTGATTTCTTTGTGATACTACAAATGCTTCTTCCTCATCTAAAAGCACCAAACGAAAAGGAGAGGAGAAAAGAATATAATTTAAGTTAACTAGGAAAGACAATACTCAAAGGCATAACAATATTGGACAAATACAAGAGAGAAGCCATTGGGCAACAAGAAGCCTGGAAGAAATTTTGCATCCATCCACTTTCACAAAAGCAAACCATGTAATTGAACACTATAAATAACAAGGATGCAAAAATGTCAAAAATGAGCATAAATTGCTGAGAACACGAGCATACTAAGTATTATCTAAGTGTTATCGAGACAAAACAGGAAGCAGCATCAACATGACTACAACACTCTAACAAAATTTTCAAATTCACTTAAAAAAAATACACTCCATATCATATTCACTTGAAATCAGTTACCTGTAGCTGTTCCTGTGCTGCACATACTCTCTTTCCAGCAACCAACAAAGATCTAAGAGAATTAGCAAGCTGCTCTTTTTTGCATTTCACGTCCTCCTTTGTCTCCCTCATCTGCATTGCCATCTCCCCCATCGCAAGCTTCCTTGCCTCGAGCTTTTGTCTCATCTCATACAGTTCATTGGACTGTTGCAGATACTTCTGCCTGACCTGTTTACCATATTTCCATGACGTTAACCATCAAACCAATCAATTAAAGCATACTAATTTTTTATTCATACAAGGAAAAATAATAGAATCCATAAGGATATGCTCCGTTAAGAGGAATTAAGTAAAAAGAAATCTTGTTTACCTTATAATTACATCTTGCTTCTTTGGTTTGAGTGAAATTCATAGAAAATTATTTTGACCAGGAAAATTGGAACATATGCATATTTCTATATCTACTCAAGGATTAACCAGTGAAAATTTTAAGTATAACTGAAGTACGAAAAACATTAGGTTGTATTCATTCTTAAATTTATCTTTGTATCCATTCAAGCCAAACAAAAAAGATCAATCACACTTCCACACAAATTCTCCTCAATCAAACAAGTAGGCGAAAAATAATTTTAATTTAATTCGTTTATCGTATCCTTTCCAGCTCTTCTCATTCAATCCCTTCAAACGAAACAGACAATAAATCCTTGCAGTGTTTCTTGCATGCCAAACCCTAAAATTACTCAATGAAAAGCAAAAGAAAAGCAAATTCTTCATAGGAGATGGTTTTTACTCATTTGAACAATAATCTAGATTCCAAAATATTAACCCAAGCTTAACAATGGAATCAACCGGGAAAAGGGAAAGAGAGTGATCAAACTTAAAACCCTACAGAGGAATCCTACCTCGATGACGGATCTGAGCTGCTGAGAGAGGAATTCCTTCCGTTCCTTGGCCTTCGCGTGGGCCGAGGAGAGGCTACACAGTCTGGCTAGCTCCTGCTGCAGCTCTTCCCACTCGATGATCTTAGGATTTTCAACGCAGAGGATCTCCTCGCCAGGAAAGGAATCGGCCTCCGGTTTCTCCGTTGATGCAATTTCTGAATCTATGTCGTCGATCTCTTTGGATTCCATTGTCTGATTTCATCATCTCCGGCGAACAGCGTCGGACGGGACGACGCTCATCGGCTATTCATAGCGGGAAGTCCGAGAGAGGACGCGCGCGCGAGAGCGAAACTCATTTTACGGAGACAGAATCGGGCTTGGGGGTTAGCTGGGCCCGGAAAAAATATATAAGGGCTGTTTGGCAACAAGTGGGATTTAATTTTAATGGGATTTAATAAATCATGTAAATCCGAATTTAGTAAATTTAAAATGTGTTAAATCCTAAAAAGCTGTTTGGTATGTTAAATGTTAAATCTTGTTAAATCCTGAGAAATTGTTTGGTAACATATATCAGGATTTATGGCAGTTATGAATTTAAGTTTAAAGGAGATATTTATAAAATTAAGATTATTGCATAAAACATAATAAAATCAATTTTAGGTCATATAAAATGACCAAAAATTCAATAAAATTTTAATTACAAACTAACATGGACCAAAATGAGAGTTGAAATATTAAATAAGCTAATTATATTAATATTTAATTACTAATTATATCATTAATTAATCAATTAAGTTAAATTAGATAATTAATTTATGCACTAATTCTACTATTAATTATTTAATTAATTAACTTAATTATTATTTGTTTAAATTATATAAATTAAGTTAATCGATAATAACTTTGAGGCGTCTAGGGTTTGTATTTCATCTTTTCTTTTCGTCGTTGCTGTTCGGCTTCGTTGATTTGCAGGAGGTGTACATATTGCGCGCGTCGCTACTTCGGTTCCTTTGTGGCTGTTCGACTTCGCTCCTTCGGCTTCGTTGATTCGCAGGAGGTGTACAGATTGCGCGCGTCGCTACTTCGGTTCCTTCGTGGCTGTTCGACTTCGCTCATTCGGCTTCGTTGATTCGCAGGAGGTGTACAGATTGCGCGCGTCGCTACTTCGGTTCCTTCGTGGCTGTTCGACTTCGCTCCTTCGACGACTTTCCCTTCTTGTCGGATCAGAAGTTACGACATTATGATCGGAAGCAAGAACAGGAGCTCGCTGGCTGTGAAGTTAACTTTCTCCCTTTCGCGCGCTTCTAATGTTAAATCCCGTTAAATCCACCAAACCGAGGGATTTAGTAAATCCGGGATTTAAGCCGTAAATCCGTAAATCCGGGATTTATGGAATCCCGGGATTTAACGCGCGCACAAAAACCGTTTGGCTGGATTTAGCGTAAATTCGACTTAAATCCCACGATAAATCCGATACCAAACAGCCCCTTAAAGAAGTTCCGAATTTAGACTTACTGTATAATTAATTGTTGGCATTCCATTCAAAAAAGAAAATGGGGTGTTTAATGAGATATGAAATTTAATATATGGTTGAATGAAAATTTTGAGAATTAAAATCCTTAGTATTCTAATTTTAATTTTAATAAATTCATATTCAAATTAAAAATTTTAGATGATGAATCTGTTAGGGTTGTGCCCTAAAGAAATATTATAATCCTGTTTTTTTATTTCCGCATTTTATATTATGATATAAAAATTCCTACAGAATCGATGACAAAATGATCTAATTCGAGATCAAATGATTCTAAATCAAACATACAAAGCGTAATTGAATATTTTGATTTATTAATTGGTTAATCAAATGATTTTTAAAGTATATGTGATTATATTTAAAACATGAGTCTCAATGAAATAAATCCAAAAAAGGTTGAGATCGTCTAATTCTGACATCATTAAAGTATTCAAATACTGAAAAAATGATCTATCATCAAATGAAATGGTATTGGTCATCTGAGTGTTTTGAATTTTAGTTGTTATGGAAAGTGTATGCAGAATTCTAATTTAAACTGAATCATGTGAATTAATAATTCATTAGATTGCGGTCTAAAATAATTTGGAATCGACAACCCTAAACCCTCATCAGCAACAACAATCTGACGACCCTAACAGTCTATGTTGTTTTTAGTCATTATCCTTCCATGTCGTAGAAAACAATCAAAACATAACATATTTTATTTTTCAGCAGACCAAACACCATTAAATGAAATTTCATTAATTTATTTTTCAAACAATTAAATATCCTTAAGAAAATCAAATTACAAAATATTTAATTTCCATTATATTTCAAATGCAAATATATATTGAAATATATATTACAAAACAATATCTAAATATCTTCCTCTCACCAACATCTCAATCCATAATGAACATCTGACAAACTTAAAGGTCAAAATAAAATTGTCACAACTCTTTTTGTCTATTAATCTCTATGTAAAAAATTCTTTCTATGTCAATCATAATGTTTTTTTTTTTTTTTATACTGGTTTTTACAAAATGATAATCAAATTCCTTTAGTTTTTGATATTTTTTTTACCCATCTCCACAAAAGGGATGACAATAATCCTCTATGAAAGTTAGCTTATAAAATAATGAATTGGTTAAAGTCAAGTTTGGACCAATTTAGTTGAATCATAGCCGTGCAAATTGATGTAAGTCCTATTATGACCATTAGATTTACCATACGAAGGCAGCACTGATATGCTTTCAGCCGAGGAGCCCACTAGTACTATCTAATAGCGGCCATGGCCTCTGTTGAAAAGCCAGGGCTTTTTCTCTCTCTTGCCTTTCTTTCGGCGAAATATTACGCTGATTCTATATATTTCTTTAGACTTTTTAGACTTTTGAAATATCTTTCTATGAGAGAGGCATTGTTCATCACATTAAGATTGAATGACCTTCAATGAATGTGAAGACATCACAACTTTCAAAATTGAGAATGCAGTGTTTTTATTTATAACTTTCCTTCAATGAACATAATTAAGATCTAGTCTATATTATGTATATTTAGTTTATTATTTGACTAATGAATTATTCACCATGTTAGGTATGACTCAAATTCATAATACAGGAGTTTAGATCGACTCAAATTCAGTTCGAAATATATTCTTATTTTGAGCTGAATTAGCTTGAGGGTCTCTTTAGGATGGCTATAGCATTTTAAAAAGTTTATTGTGAAATTGTTGTGGGTAAAATAACTTAACTATTCTTGTTATAAAAAGCAGCTTTCTACCTCATAAATCTCTAATAAACAGTGAGAAAACAATAGCCAAACTAAGGCTTCATTTGGGAAAGCTTTCGTACTGCTTTTTAAAACTGTTTTCTAGTACAAAAAATTAAAATTCAAGAATTTTTGTAAGAATTTTTGTACTAGAAAACTGTTTTAGAAAGCAAGAAGAAAGCCGTCTCAAACGAAGCCTTTTTTTTTTTTTTTTGCTACCTGAAAAAAAAAACTGTGAGGAAGCTATCTCAAACATACCCTGAGTCAATATGTTTCGATTCAGTTTAAATATGCTCGAAAACTCATATTTATCTAATTATAATTATACTCTTAATTTTATTTGTAATACTTTCATTCAAAAATCAAGCAACTTTTCATATAAATTACAATCTTTGTCTTCTAAAAGTTTCAAATCCAAAAGTTTTTCAATATTAAATAATAATTGCCTTTCAAAATACTTTAAATACAATCTTTTAAAAATAAATAAAATTATATATTTATTTGATTGAAATATATTATTTTGAGGAGATCTAGCGTGGTTGGAGGAAATTCAAATCTAGTGTTAAATGCATATTCTGGTATTATATGCACACTTTGTTTCTTGATAGTCATAAAGGTCAAAATTCTCTATATTTTATCTTATAGGAGGCATAAGGATCAAAATTCTCTAAATTCTATCTGTTGAGAAGTATAAGAGTTAAAATTCCTTTAGTTTTTTATAATTTTTTTTCATCTCCACAAGAGGGATGGACAATAATCCTCTATGAAAGTTAGGTCATAAAATAATGAATTGGTTAAAATCAAGTTTGGACCAATTTAGTTGAATTATGGCCGTCCGATTTGAGGCAAGTCCTATTATGACCATTTGATTTATCACCATGAGAGAGGCATTGATCTAGTAAGTATTATGTCTATTTATTTTAGTATTTGATCAATGAATTATTCACAATGCTAGGTTTGACCCAAATTCGAAATATAGTAGTTTAGATCGACTAAAATTTAGCTCGATATAAGAATATATTTTGAGCTGAATTAGCTTGAGGGTCTGTTTAGGATGGCTATAGTATTTTAAAAAGTTTATTGTGAAATTATTGTGGGTAAAATAACTTAGCTATTCTTGTTATAAGAAAATAGCTTTATATCACATAAATCTCTCACAAACAATGCGAAAACAATAGTCAAACTAAGGTTTCGTTTGGAATAGTTTTCATACTACTTTTTAAAACAGCTTTCAAGTACAAAATTTTCAAATTTAAGAAATTTTTGTACTAGAAAGCAAGAAGAAAACCATCCCAAATGAAGCCTAAGGCTTCGTTTGGGGCGTCTTTATTACTACTTAAAACAGATTTTTAGTATAAAATAAAAAAAAAATTATACAAAAAAACTCATTTAAAAAGTAATAAAAAACTGCCCCAAACGAAACCGAAATTATGGTTGCTATCTGGAAAAAAAAAGTTGAGAAAAAGTTGTCCCAAATACATCCCGAGTCAATATGATTCGATACAGTTTAAATATGCTCGGAAGCTCATATTTATTTAATTATAATTATACTCTTAATTTTATTTTTGCAATAATTTCATTAAAAAATCAAGCAACTTTTCATATTAATTACAATATTTGCCTTCTAAAGTTTCCAATTCAAAAGTTTTTCAATATTAAATAACAATTGTCTTTCAAAATACTTGAAAATATATATATATATTAAAAATAAATAAAATTATTATTTTATACTTATAGCACATGCAAGCAAATATCCCCTAAATGTTTTGTCAAACTGTCCAATAATTTGTTAGTATTATTAGCTAACAAAAGTTCAATTAAATTATTTTGCGATAATGGACAAATCTTTGAAGCGTCGACAACAGCTTCTTTGAATTATTATGCCATAAGACAAAATAGTGTCAGAGCTGACGTATTTTTTCAGATTAATATTTTATATCAAATTTTAAATTAAATTAATTTTAACATAAATTAAATAATTTTAAATTTTATTATAATGTATTTTACATTAAAATATTTTGACATTATTATGTCTAAAAATAATAATATGAAAATATTTGGTTATAAATACATCAAAATTATGATTTTTTGTTATTATTCATACTTTACTAAAG